CACACATCCATTAAATCACCAAGTCTCATAGATTTCTACCTTTTTCTCTGTGACCCACCTATTCCTCTCTATCCTCTCTGCCATGATCTCAGCTCTCACTTAGAGACCGCCACAGCCTTTCAATTGGTCTGATCTTTCATTAAGCCATTGCCCCGCACTGGTGTCAGAATGATCTTTTTAAACATGTGCTTGTATTATTACCCACTTTGAAAACTCTTCAATGGCTTTTCATTTTCCGCAAGCAAAAGTCTGCATTTCCTTACTATGGCCTACAAGACATTTTGGGATGGGCCCGTGTCTACTCATATAGGCTGTCAAACTCTCAGTGGTCTAGCTTTACTGAAAACCATCTGTGGGAAGTCCATGCTTTCCCTCTCTCTCTCTAGGCCTTTGCACCTGCTGTTTTCTTCACCTGAAACCCCCTTTTGCCCCTCTTTAAAAACTCATTAACTTCTAATCCACAAATATCTGCAGAATAGTTATTGAAATATCACTTATTTAGAAAACTTGTTGCATAACTTTATGGCTAAAATTTTTTTACTACTCACTTTAGTAATAGAGCCCTTAAGTGCTCTATCAGTAAGAATTTAAATGAGCAGCTAAAAATGTCCTTAATAATCGTTAGAAAACAGTAATTGATATTTAAAGCTTCATTCTGTATGGACAAAGAAGCTATTTTTTTTTTATGTTGTTGTTATTTTGGGTTTCTAGAAATTTAAAAGCCTAATAAATGATTTGTAAATGCTCAGTAAGTAACTGAAATATATAATAATTCAAAAAATTCAGTAAAATTATATCAGTGAGTTGTGATGTAAGATCCCTAAAATATCCTGGGATACTTTTTCCTTCTTGATGGGATAGCACCATATCTTTTTTTTTATTATTATTATTTTTAAAGATTTCATTTATTTGACACAGAGATAGAGAGTACAAGTAGGCAAAGCAGTAGGCAGAGGGAGGGGGAGAAGCAGGCTCTCCACTGAGCAGGGAGCCCAGTGTGGGGCTCGATCCCAGGACCCTGGGATCATGACCTGAGCCGAAGGCAGGTGCTTAACTGACCAAGCCACCCAGGCACCCTGCACCATATCTTTTAATAGCTGACTTGTTCAAAGAAATACAGACACAGTGATAGTACTTTTTTCATGAGTTGTTCTGGATGCTTACACAAATGTGTCATCAATTTAGAAAGAGCAGTGCTTATTTTGATTTTGATAAGATTCATAACAATGTTTTTTTTTAAAGATTTTATTTATTTGACAGACAGAGATCACAAGTAGGCAGAGAGGCAGGCAGAGAGAGAGGAAGGGAACCAGGCTCCCTGCTGAGTAGAGAGCCCGATGCGGGGCTCGATCCCAGGACCCTGAGATCATGACCTGAGCCGAAGGCAGAGACTTTAACCCACTGAGCCACCCAGGCGCCCCGTAACAATGTTTTATATGTTCCAACTTAATGGCCATGTTCTGCTTTCTATTTAACCCAGGAATTAGTTTCATATAAACTGTTAGCCTTTTAGTTTCACCACCCACTGAGTATGCCAACCCAAGCAAATGAAGGCTAATAGCCTAGTAAATGTTCTATGGATCTGAGGGTAGACTTGAACATTGCAGTAAATCCTGAACAAACCAGACACAAAGCCCAAACGGAACAAATGAGATCATTAGCACAATCTGTGTCTCCTGAAGGAGGAGCGGGGCCTTGCAAGGACTTAGCCAGCTGCAAGGGCAAAGAGGTTCTCAGACCAAGAAGTTTGAATGTGGTCTGGGATAATTAGAAGGAGTAACTACATTGTGCCAGGAATTGTGTTAAGTGCTTTATAGTGGAGGTAATCTGCAACAGTCAGTGGGAGTGCAAACTCAAAAGTAGCAGCAATATTCACCTAAAGAAAGTCATCAAAAATTTGTTTTCAGTTTTTGTCTTGAGGTGGAAAATTGATTTTATGTTGTTACAGAGCAAAGAAAATTATGACCTATGTTTAGCTGATTTTCAAAGCTGATTTTATGTTCTGTTTGATTTTATGATCTGTGTTTTTCACAGTTAAAATGTTTTACCCTCTGTGATGTTAAGATATCTTGTTAGGATATTAAGGAAATCATACTTCAAATATTAAATCATATTTTAACATGGGGTGTGCATGAAGCCAATATTTCTCCCATTAATTAATTCAATCATTCATTCATTCAACAAATATTTGTTGCAATAACCCCTCTGTGGAGGTAGTGTTCTAGGTGTTGGAGATACAGTGATGAACAAAACACGTAGTCCCTTCCCTTAAAGGGCTTACAGTCTAGGGGAGGAGGCAGACTAAGCAAATAATCAGACCAATATTTAGCACAGCAGGTGCAAATCTCAATTCAGAAACTCAGGTGTCCAAGAATGTATATTCTATAATTCAGTTTCTAGTCCTAAGTCTTCATTCTACCCGGGTGGCAGAAACAAACTATGTACACACAAAGTTACTAACAGTCTCTCTCAGATTTCGCTTCCTTCCCTTTCCCAGGACATAAATCTAGCATCTTACTCTCTGCCAAGGCCCTTCTATCAACAAATTGTTGCTTCTTGGTAGGTCATTAATCATCCTCAGCTTCCTGGCTTTTTTGGTTCCAGTGGTCTTTGTTGCTTCTACGTATCACTCACTGGATTTTTCTGAGGCTCATTCCCTCCTAGGTCTTTCTCCTTCCTGAACAACGTTACTCAGAAACAGGACATACGTCCCCTCTGCTCTACGGATTCATTAAAACTCTCTTTTTTCCTCATTCCCCACTTCTTCCAGCTCCACAGAAACTTCACATTTCCCATCATGTTTAAGATACTTGGAGTAAATTTAAACTAGCTGGGTGGCAGTTCCTGTAGAAGGGAGCTCGGGAAAAGCTCTCTTGAGAAGATGAGAAATGGACTGAGATCTGAAGGGAGAGTGATGAGTTAACATGTTGAAGGGGAGCGAGGGATGGGAAGAAGGATGTTCCTAACCGAAGGGATACATGTGGCAAGGTCTGAGGCAGGAAAAAACTGAAAAATTAAGTTATAAGCATCATTATTTAGGGACAAAACCTTAATTATAGAAGAATATACACTCTTGTGCTTTGGTTACGAGAGCTCAATGAACTATATAGATATTAAGCATTTACTGCACACTAGGGGAAAATGTTTAAGAACTGCTCAAAGCCTTGGGCTTGAGTTTAAGCCTGACCAGTTACCAGATGTATGGTCTTTGGTAAATTATATCACCTATTTAAGCCTTAATTATATTACCTGGAAAATTTTATAATAACATCACAACTACTTTCCCTATCTGTCTCATAGGATTGCTGTAAGGGTATAATGAGATAATAGATGTGAACGTGTTCTACAAACTGTACAGAACTTTAACATGTACATTATTACTAGTGTGTTGTTGATAACTAAATCTGTTCACAGTACAATCCAAGATTTTCTTTTGGGGAAACTTTTATTGAGACAAAATGGCAAATACACTTCTCATTTGTAATTTTATGTAACTACACAGAAGTGAACCAAGTGAACACATCTTGATGCACAATTATATTATGAATATAATCTTCCTTCCCCACAACAGTTGCAAGAGCAGCTAACAGCTTACTCACAGGCAATAATGTAAGTTCTATATGAGAGATGCCTGGTAGAGAATGACCAGATAAAGTAATGAATACCCAGCACAAAATAAGACTCTAAAGTGAGGCCAGTCACCACTCTCTCTAGAGACCCCTAATTAGTTCATTAGGGGTGTGTGTGTGTATGTGTGCATGTGTGCATGTGTGTTTGAAGGATAAAATGAGATGGCTAACTGCTTAGCAGAACTCTCATTCAATTCTTAAAATTCTTTCACTGAGGAAAAGCATATTAAACATATTAAAACAACAATGAGATATGACTACACATCTATTAAAATAGCCAAAATTTGGAATATTGACAATACCAAAGCAGGCAAGGATATGGGAAAATAGGAGCTCTCACACATTGAGAGAGGGAATGAAAAATGGTATTCAGCCACTTTGGAAGATAATTTTGAATGGGTTTTGTTTTGTTTCTTTTTTTTTTTTTTTTTTTTTTTGGCAAAACAACATACTCTGCAATCCAATAATCATGCTTCTCAGTATTAACCACAGGAGTTGGAAACTTATGTCCACAAAAAATCCTGCACACAGTTGTTTATGGCAACTTTATTCATAATTGCCAAAATTGGGAAGCAACCAAGATGTCCTTCAGTAGATGAATGACAAACTGTGATATATCCAGACAATGGAATATCAATAAACACTAAAAAGGAATGAGCTATAAAGCCGTGAACAGACATGGAAGAACCTTAAATTCATATTACTAAGTGAAAAGGGTCAATCTGAAAAGGCTATAGACACTATGATTCCAATTATATGACATTCTGGAAAAGGTAAGACCATTGAGACAGTAAAAGATCTGTGATTGCTGGATTGGGGAGTGAAGGAAAAAATAGAGCACCGAGGATTTTTAGGGCAGTGAAAATGCTCTATATAATACTATAATTTGGGTATATGTTATTATACATTTGTCCAAACCCACAGAATATACAAAGTTAAGGGTGAACCATTATGTAAACTATGGACTTTGGGTGGGGGCAAGGAGTATAAGGGAAATCTCTTGTACCATCCTTTTGATTTTGTTATAAACCTAAAACAGCCCAAAAATCCTAAATTTTTAGAAAACTTTTATGGGATAGAGTTTACTAGTGAGAATCCAAAGCCAACCCAGAAAGCCAGCAAAATAATTCCTTCTGTAACGCCAAGGTGAAAGATCTTAAAATAAAAATTGGTGCTAATCTAAAAGCATGGGAGAGTCTATAAGATCAAGGGTGAGAAGGGTACAATGGAATGGGGTCAGTGCTTCAGGGCCAGTTGCCCAGGGTCTAAGAATAATAAAATAGCTTTATTTTTCATTTAGGCTTGATGACCAGTGATGGTAGAATATGTGAAAATTTTTGGAAGATCAAAAATAAATAACAAAAAGAAACATTTTTTTCAAAGAAATAAAGTTTTTATTTTGTTACACAGAGTGTCATGGAAAGTCCAACCTTTCAGAAAGACAGAGATGAACCGCAATGAATTCTATCAGCAGAAAATTTGTAATTCTTATTACCTGACCTGAGCACTCTGCTTTTGTTTAAAGGATGGCTCCAAAGAAATAGAGACTGTGAAGTAACAGACACTTACAAAAGGCAGTTTCTATTGTTGCACAGATTCCATTCTTAGTTTTATACATACTTTTTTTTTTTTTTTCAGAGAGTTTAGTGAGTTTCACATGCCTTATCGTTTCCTCTCCACTTGGAATGCTTTACAAAACAAGCCACACCGTCCTATGGACTCAGCTAACAAAATGCAGGACTTGTTCTAACAAACAGCATGGAATAGGCTGTTAGCAAACTGTCTGAGGGAGTTGCTGCCTCCCACTCCTCCTGTATCCACGAGTTAGCTCTAGAATCTTTCATAAGATAACATCCCGATGCCAACTATAGATTGAGGACTTTCCATTTTCTCTCTGGGCCCACTTAAGTTTGGGTTTAAAACCCATAGCAGATTTGGAGCACGCAGAGGAGGGTGCCCTGATGTGTCCCAGATTAATTTTTCTCCCTGAATTGGGAGTGTGATGCCTGGTGGCTAAACAAAGCAAATTTGACATTTGCCATGTCAAATGTCTTTTGCTTGTCAAATAGTCTAACAAAGTTTCATAGCTTCATTTCTTTCAAATCTAGGATAAAATTCTGATTTAAAGTTCGGTGTAAGAATTCAATATTCTCATAACACTAATACATGTGTAATTCATAAACTCTAGAAAATAGATCTTGGAAAGCAGAAGATTTAAAAGTCTATGGTACTTCATCTTGTAAAGATTTTTGCTATAAGTAATTCTAATAATTTCCAAGCTTTGTTTCTAATGGAATAATAATTTTCTGACTGATTTGGATATTTTATAAGTACATATATGTAGTTATATGTACTTCGAATATGACTAAAAATATTAAGAAAATCTCAGCAAAACTCTTACAATTAGTCTAGATCTCAAACTAATTACATATCTCTGAAATAAAAGTTTATTAAATTTATGTTAAGTTGAAATAGAGGTTATACATAAAATATCATTTTCTAACATCAAAATCCCAGTTTACTGCATACAAATTGGATAATTGGACATGAAACACTGTTTCTTTTTCTTTAAACGGCAACAAGAGAAAATATTAGTAATGATGAATTATCCTTATCGGTTTGGCTTGGGTCCAAGCAAAGTATTTATTATATCTCCCTGAAAAGAAAAAATCAAATAATTAGAATGCAATAAAATATAAATTAAGAGGTAAAGGAGTCTTTAAAATGCCATTTAAAATTTATAAATTAGCGATACATATGAAGGGCACCCAATAAGATTGTAAAAAGTAAACACACAAAGCAAAATTAAAGAGTAACAGTTATTTCCTAGTATAAACCTGCTTTTTCCTATCAAAGACTCTGTTAAGGGAGTTTGATAAACAACTTTATAAGGATTCAGTTGAGGGATCATTTTGATGGCTCCTGTTTAGCCTTAATATCTAAACCTCAGTTTTCTCATTTATAAAATAGTTTGTGATATTAATGGTATCTTAAACTCTTTCCTGACCTAGAGTGCTTGATTTAGAGAGAGTTGAATATCTGAATTTCAATGTGGATTTTATGTTTAATTTAATATTAATAATCTTTGTACCAAAGAAGTAAAATAATAATCTGCAAGAGGATGAAACCAAAGATGGTAGGTGTTTTTAAGAAAGATATCATGAAAAGTTGGGAAATGGAAACAAAAGACCAGAGTTTTCTCTACTACACAGTGAAGGTGATCTTAAGAAAATCACCGATATCTGGGAATCATAGTTTCCTGGAATGTATAATAGAAATATTAACAACCAATTTATAAATACCTGTGATGGTATTACATAAGTCAGTCCTATCTTCTAGCCTATACTAAGGAAGACTGACACAAAATCAGTTGCCAAACTTCTTCTCAAACCCACATCTTTCCAGTTCAGTCTCTCACTTGGACTAACATAGATCAGTACTGTAATCTGTTCACTGTTATATCCTTAGCACCTAAAAGAGACCCTGTCACATAGTATATACTCAATAGATATCTGTTGAATGAATGAACAGTCTATATGTAAATACCAAAGGACAAAGAAAAAAATGGCAAACATTTATATACTGAAACTTAAGAATAGAAATAGTATCCAGGAGTGATTCTCCACAGGCTGCCTCCAGAAAAAAAAACAGTTGCTTTGTGCAATGCCCCACTGAAATTAGCTTCTGCTAAGTACTTAAACCGTAATTCTGTTCAACACAAGACTTAGGCCCCCAGCAACCAACCACATCCCATCAGGAGAGGAGGCAGTGCTTCAACAAACAATAATGCTAATGTGGTGGTAAATCCTGTTGACAGCTAGCTCTATCACAAAGTTATCATTGCAAGGCTTGGACCCCGTAGTCCTGATTGTGCCAGGCATCAGGCTGATGTTAACCCTAGCCACTAACCCTGAGTGGGTAGGACAGGAGTGTTACACTATGTCATATCACAGAAATATTCTAGTCCTTGAACACTTTCAGGCAGGTGCCAGAGTTTCGGAAATCATTTTGCTTAAAACATCCACAACCCAAGGATCAAAGTTCTTCTCCTGCAGTGCAAGGCCACAGAGGATGATGGGCAATGTAGGGACAAGAGGGAGCCATGGTCCTATACTTATACCATGGTCCTTGATATACCTCAGTGGGTTTCCACCAATGGATCCTGCTCTGCACACCTGGTTCCTGTGTTACCTTGTACTTTGCCTCTGTAAAACCAATATTCCTGTTGAAGTTCCCTTTGTACCCATCCCTAATCTTGTTCTTCCCTCATCCTCCTCTTCGCAGAGGCAGGCTTTATTATAAATTTGGTGTACATCTTTCTTATAGAATGAAAACATTAGTCTTCCAAAACTTTGATTTACCTTTGGTTAAAATGAATGGAGAAATTAAAGGACATAATGTTACTTGATAAGATATCTTGATAGGAAATAATGATTTGACATTAATTACTTTGAGATTTCAAATTACTATTTGATTATAATTCTTCTCTGAAAAGTTCAGGAAAATTTGTATCAGGTAAGCATGTGTTTGGCTGTAAGTAATACAAAATCTGATTAATAGGTTTTTGTTGAATCTCCCAGAAAAATAAACCTGAACCTTTAAAATATAATGACCAAAAGCATGAAAAACATATTTGTATTAGAAAACTGTATTTATTATTAACGCATGGAATATATTTGTTACAAGGAAATTTTGCTCACTAGTTGAAATCGTTAACACACACACACACACACACACACATACACATTTGTCAAAAATGTTCAGACTCAGCTTAGCCTTCTACTTCTAGAGCATAGTGCTCAAAATAAAAGATGTCTCAAACCATAAGAGACTCTTAATCTCGGGAAACAAACTGAGGGTTGCTGGGGTATATGTGTGGGGGAGGGATAGGGTGGCTGGCTTGGACATTGGATATTGGGGAGGGTATGTGCTATGGTGAGTGTTGTGAATTGTGTAAGACTATTATTTCACAGACCTGCACGCCTGAAGCAAATAATACATTATATGTTAATAAAAAAATAAATGAAAGATGTCTCTAATGTGTATATATATAACACATCTTCTTTATCCATTCATCTTGATGGACATTTGGGCTGTTTCCATAATTTTACTATTGTAGATAATGTTGCTATAAACATCAGGATTCATGTATTCCTTTGAATTAGTGTTTTTGTATTCTTTGGGTAAACATCTAGTAGTGCAATCGCTGTACCGTAGAGTAGTTCTATTTTAGCTTTTTGAGGAACCTCCATATTATTTTCCAGAGTTGCCCCAGTTTGCGTAAAAAAGAATGAAATCTTGCCATTTGCAATGATACAGATGAGCTAGAGAGTATTATGCTAAGTGAAATAAGTCAGAGAAAGACAAATACCATATGAGTTCACTCATATATGAAATTTAAGAAACAAAGCAAACGAGCATAGGGGGAAAAAAGAGAGAGAGAGGCAATGCAAGAAACAGACTCTTTTTTTTTTTAAGATTTTTTATTTATTTATTTGACAGACAGAGATCACAAGAAGGCAGAGAGGGAGGCAGAGAGAGAGGAGGAAGCAGGCTCCCTGCTGAGCAGAGATCCTCCTGGGATCATGACCTGAGCTGAAGACAGAGGCTTTAACCTACTGAGACACCCAGGCACCCCCAAGAAACAGACTCTTAACTAGAGAGAACAATGGTTACTAGAGGGGAGGTGGAGGGAGTGATGGGTTAAATAGGTGATGGGGATTAAAGCGTGTACTTGTGATGAGTACTGGGTGATGTACGGAAATGTTGAATTACTAAATTCTGTACCTGAAACTAATAATCAACTGTATGTTAACTAACTGGAATTTAAATTAAAACTTTAAGGTAGTTAGGAAAATCTCCTTAAATGTCCACAGTCAGTATGCATGTCAGCCAGTAGAGAAAATAATCTCCAAAACTACTTGGAATGCTTCATTTGTTTCTTTATTGGGAAAACCTATTTTTACCCTGAGAAGAATAATAATTATATATAGAAATAATGCAGCAAATCAAACAGATAATTTTAATAATTTTTATTAAGGAACTAATATATATTTGGCATTTTAAATATTCATTATTTTTAAGAGAATTTGCCATTGTTAGATTGTCTCACAAATAAATTTCTCTTTTTTTTATGTTACGTTAGTCACCATACAGTGGTGTTCAATTAGAATTAATTTAAATGTGTAATTGGGTAATTGATTTAGACTCACAATTATAGATTGAAATATTACTACTTTGTAAAAAGCATTGGAACATTTAAGAAAATTTAAGATTCATCATATTCAACATTTAAAATTTATTAAATTAATAAGAATTCCTTAAGTATCAGATTTGCTTCCCCATAAAGCAATTAAAGTACTTAAAAATCTATATTAAATTTATAAGTTAAACTTAAAGGATTTAATGGAACTTAATTATTGTAAAAGCTTGTTGGAAATAGGTATTAAAATTTGCTGGACTTATAAACAGAATAATAAAATATATTATCTAAATGTAAGAGCTTAAGATGAACTAAGATTTTTAAAAATTTTATAAAATACTTGAATGTGAACATTTTAAGCAAAAGGAGACTGAGTAATCATTTCCATATACAAAGGAAATATTAAAGATGAAGGAAAAAATAAAGAAAGGAAAAACACCTCACATTTCTACCTTATACATGTCTCCTAATAACACATGTACAAGACATGCTCTATGTTATCATTGACTCATATGGTATTTGAATTTTCACTTTTACTGAATTGCTCTCCAAAGAGGTTATGCTAATTCATATTCCCATGACCCTTGCATAAAAGTTCCTAATTCCCTACAACTTTGCTAATACTTGATATTGGCTACTATTTCAGTTTTTGTAAATCCAATCAGTTTGTACTGATATCTTACACAATTTCAATTGTATATTTCTTCATTACTAGTGAGAATGAATGTTGCTTAAGTTTAATTTTCCAGTTTCTTTCCTATGAATTAGGATTTTATACATTTGTCCATTTAAAATATTGAATTCTTCTTATCCTTTAATAGGAGTTCTTTATACATACTAGATATTATGTCTTTTATAATCTCAGAAATTTCTTCTTTTAATCTGTTTCTTTTAATGTGGCATAAACAGAATCCTAAACAGGAAGTGTAGAGGTACACTTTTAAATAAGGTAGCCAAGGAAGATATCACCAAGAAAATGACTGATATTTGAGCAAAGACTTGAAATAAGTGGAACCGGATTTTAGAAGGAGAAATGACAAGCAAGCAATTATCTATCTATCTATCATCTATCTGACATTTACAGTCCATGTAGTTGGGGTAAAACTCCACCTTCTACGTGTGACCCAAATCTAATTAATACACCTGACTTTCCTGGCCACGTTTCTCTCTGGTTGGATCTTTTTCTTTTCTGATCCTATTATAAATTATGCTATAATTAATTTCTTTGATTACCTTTATTGATATTTCTATAGAATAGAGCTTCAGGAACATGACAGTCTTGGTTTAGATTGCCAAATTGCTTCCAAAGAAGTAATACCACAATATTCCAACATTTCTCTGTGTAAGAGAAAACCTATCTTATCAAATGTTTGCCAATACTGAGAAGTCCTAATAAATTAAAAAAAAAAAAAAAAAACTTGTAGTGCCTGGGTGGCTCAGTTAATTGAGCATCCAACTCTTGGTTTCTCCTCAGCCATGATCTCATGGGTCACTGGGATCAAGCCCCTCCTTGGGCTCCATGCTCAGCAGGTAGTCTGCTTGAAGATTCTCTCTCTGTGTCCTTCCCCCCTCATGCTCTCTCCCTCAAATAATTAAGTCTTCAAAAAATTTTTTTAAATAAAAAGGAAGAAATCTTTTCCTTCTCTAAAAAAAGCTTTGTTAATTTCATATATGAGAAAGCTACTACATTTTAATTTAATGTAATAAATTTTTATTTCTTAAATTATCAATGAGGTTTAGTTTTAAAATATATTTACTAGCTATTTTTGGGGAATGAACTATTCCTGACCATTACCCACTCTTCTATTATAGTCTTAGTGTATTTTTCTTATGGATTTTTGCATATTTAAAATATTTTAACATGTTTATCATACTCATGGTAATATTTTCCAGATTATCCCATAAAATAATAATTTAAACATAAAAAAATAAAAAATTGAAGGGCTACCTGGGTGATGCAGTTGGTTGAGCGACCACCTCCTGGTTTTAGCTCCTGTCCTTATCTCAGGGTTGAGAGATTAAGCCCTGAGTCTGGCCCTAAGCTAAGCACAGAATCTGCTCAAGGTTCTCTCTCCTTCTCCCTCCGCCCCTCCCCGCCTTGCACAAGCGTGAGTGCACACCCTCCCACTCTCTCTCTCTCAAATAAATAAAAAAATCTTTAAAAGACAAAAGACAAAATTTTAGAAAAACAAAAAATTGAAAAGCTACCTTAAAAATAATGGGCAGCTAGTAATACCGATTGTTTGTCAAACTTTTACAAGGAAGTTTTCATATTTGAAGATCAAAGTAAGGGAATAGGCTAACACTACAGAAACAAAAAAAAATGCCTATTTTGGGAACATTGGATAATATCAAAAATATCATTTCTTGTAAGTCTTTGAATATTTGCAGTAATCTTCTTCAGCTATATTCAACAACTATTAAAACCCAACAGTATATTAGACACAATTTAAAGTTATTCCACACATTTATAATTATTATGCTATAGCAATATTGTTCTCATTTTGCAGAAAAAAAAAAAACAAACATGAGGCTCAAAGAAAATAAGCCTAGTAGATACCATGCTGAGTAGGTAGCAACTCTCGAGACTTACGTTCTTCCTACTGCATTACACTTAAGATAGTTAAGAAATGTAAAATCCTTGTATGATACAAAATTACACAAAATAACATAAACTTTTGACTTTTGAGTCTTACCCGGCCAGAATCCAAAGTAGTGGGCATATTTCTTAGTTCATACACAGCAACCTGTCCATCACTGTCGCCCACTAGAAGGCAATCTGTTTGTTTGGCAAAGAGAACAGTTGTGAACTTGATTCCAGGGTTAGCAACATTCACAATGAGAGGATCCAAGCTGTAATAAAATACTTTACTTGTAAATTCAGTTGTTGTTGATACATTCTTTTTGTATACGGATTAAGAAAAGTCAGATATTTTCTGGAATTTCATGTGACAAAAACAAAACAAAATAAGCATCTTACTTAAGTAAGTTTCCAAAGTCAAAATAACGGCTTCTCAACTCCTTATTCGATCAAAACTTTCTTTTCTTCAGTGAACTAATTTCAAATAAATAAATTCAGGAAGTTCATAATTAAGATGTACACTCATAAGTTTAAACTCCTGTGCTGGGTAACTATGTATTAACTTGGCTAGGCTACGATATTCAGTTGTTTGGTCAACATTCATCTACACTTTGCTGTGCAGGTGTTTTGTTTAGATGGAATTAACATTTACTGATCAGTAGAATTTGGAACAAAGCAGCTTACCCTCCATAGGGCAGGCAGACCTTATTCAGTTTGATGAAGACCTTAAGAGAAAAGACTGAGTTCCCTGAAGGGGAATAAAATTCTGCCTCCAGTCTTCCTTCAGACTCCTGACTGCAACATGGATTTCTGATGGAAACTCTAGCCTGCCAACCTGTACCACAGACTGGGCACTTGTCAGGCCTCATAGCCATGTGAGCCAATTCCTTAAAATAATTCTCTTTCTCTCTTTTTATTGCATCTCTATCTCTGGAGAACCCTCACTAATATGACTTCTTAAGTAGTAAATGTCTTTTAATAGAAGGACATTTTGATCCAAATGAACCTCTGGAACGTAAGAGAATACTTCGAACAAGAACTTTTTCTGTTCCCCATCGTCTAAAGCAATCTAGTGACACCCTACAAACAACAAAAGCAGTAACTTGTATATGTCTGAAGAAATGTCCTGAGAACCACCGTTTTACCAAAAAAACTAAAATCAGAGGTGGGATGAGTTAAGTAATCATTTTATACATTAGTCATCTCATATTCAAATATAAATTGCTTTGTGATGTAATCTTTGGTTTGGGGTTCAAACCATTTCATAGTAGAAGCCATGACAACATTTTAGAGTTATTTAATTTTTAACTTCTAGGGGAAAAAAATTGCCATTAAGAATAAGCCCACTGAATTTTTTGTCACTTATTTTAAGAACGAATGTATTTCCTTGATTCTTCTGCTAATAACTAGCATAAAAATCTATAGTATTTTCCAACTGAAGAAGTAAAATCACAAACACTTTATTCTTATACGGTATAAATTGTCATTTTAAAATGAAAGATGGGTCTAGAGGATACTCTAAACTTCGGTGTAACACCTTAAATTAAATTTCAATTAAATGCATTAAATTAAAAATTTAATTAAATGCATGGCCCTGGGTACCTGGGTGGCTCAATCAGTTAAGTGTCTGTCTGCCTTTGGTTCAGGGCCTTCCATTCAGGTCATGATCCTGGAATCCCAGGATCAATCAGGCTGCATTGGGCTCCCTGCTCAGTGGGGAGTCTGCTTGTCCCTCTCTCCTTCACACTGCTTGTGCTCTCTCTCTCATTCTCCCGCACTCAAATAAATAAATAAATAATCTTTTAAAAAAAATCTTAAAAAATAAAAATAAATGCGTGGCCCTTTGAATATGTTTTAAAACAAGGTAAGAGGGGCACCTGGGTGGCTCAGGGGGTTGAAGCCTCTGCCTTCAGCTCAGGTCATATTCCCAGGGTCCTGGGATCGAGCCCCACATCGGGCTCTCTGCTCAGTAGGGAGTCTGCTTTCTTTCCTCTCTCTGCCTGGCTCTCTGTCTGCCTCTCTGCCTACTTGTGATGTCTGTCTGTCAAATAAATAAATAAAATCTTTTAAAATAAATAAATAAAACAAGGTAAGAGAATACATAAATATTATTAAAAAATAATTATTTTGTTCCCTTTATCTCTCTGCAGAAAATCTTCAGTTAAAAACAATTAGCTGCCTCTCTGCATTCTTCCATAAAGTGGGCAATGAAAATTCAAGATAGCTATGATATCTTACATCAGCCTGTAAAAGTTTGAGATGAATAAGGTAATGTATCTTCATTTAAATATGTTTAAAACCATATATGCGGGGCGCCTGTGTGGCTCAGTGGGTTAAACCTCTACCTTCCACTCAGGTCATGATCCCAGGATCTGGGATCGAGTTCCTCATTGGGCTTCCTGCTCAGTGGGAAGTGTGCTCCTCCCTCTCCCACTCTCTCTGGTTGTGTTACCCCTCTCACTGTGTGTGTCTTTCTCTGTCAAATAAGTAAATAAAATCTTTAAAAAAATAAAACCACATATGGTCTAAGTAATTAAAATGAATATAGCATCCTCGCATATATCTTTTATTTGTAAAGGACTCTCATAGTGTAGACCATTATTGTTTTAAAGTAACTACAATTCCCTCTAACCAATACCAAAACTGCTTCTATAAGAACTATTACCAAGAAAAGCATTAACACTTACGTGCTGACGTGAAGGTCCCAAATCTCCACTCTGCTCTCATTTGCAGCTGCAAATATATAGGAGGATTTTGGAGACCAGGCAACATCGTAAACAACAGAAGTTGTTGGATAAAAGCTCAAAAAGGGTGTGGTGCTCTCCTGTTGCCATATAATAACACCCCAATCTGCAGAACAGCTTAAGAACACATCATGACAAAATGGGTTCCATGCTATTTTATACACTGGGCCCTAGAATTAGAAAAACAAATTAAGATACGTAAGTAAATAATATTGAACATCTTATACTTTAAACATCACCAGCAAATTAAAAATGCTAAGCTTTCTAGAAGATTTATGCACCATGCATTATCATATATCATTTTAGCTGAGAGTAAGGTCATAGATAGAATCTTCCCTAAATTATGCCTTATGGAGACATAAAAATATACTTGTCACAATACTAACTAAATATTAATACATATTTTACCTATTTGCTTTAAAAATATAAGATTTTTTTTTTTTTATGAGGGAGAAAATGCTGAAACCCATAGATGGAACAATCGCAAAAGATACAGAAAATAAGTATATGCCAGACACCTTTTTACTTTGGGATCAGCATGTTATCATAAGCAAAGCTTTTCAGAAATCATTTTAAATTCCATAACTTGAAGAAGAAATCAAGAATATCTTGAAGCAAGGGGTGCCTGGGAGGCTCAGTCAGTTAAGTGTCCAACTCTTGATTTCGGCTCAGGTCATGATCTCAGAGTCATGAGATCAAGGCCTGTGTCGGGGTCCATGCCGAGCATGGACCGAGCACTTCCTCTCCCTCTGCCTCTCCCTGCACCACCCCTACTGGCTTGCATTTTCTCTCTCTCTCTCTCTCAAAGAGGAAAAAAAAAGAATATCTAGAAGCCAAATAAGATGCCCCGCATGTGATCAATGGTTTGCATACAAGAAAGCACTTAATTCAAGTTGGTAATGCTAACTCTGAAGTTGTAAATTTACTGCATGTTAAAAGTACTGTATATAATGTTATTTTTTCAGAAGTAATAAAAGATAAAGTTTCCATACCTACTCTAATTAAACTGACCTTATGTCCTCTGTAGGTATCTAAGTATTGCTCATTATACGAACAGGAACATTTGTGAATATGACCTTCTTCAGTGCCAGCCAAATAGATATTTGTATCCTAAAACACAAAAAATTAAAATGTATTGGCTTGTGATACATTACTAAATGTGCTAAATAGAAAGTCAGATCCCAAGTGCCTGGGTGGCTCAGTGGATTAAAGCCTCTGTCTTTGGCTCAGGTCATGATCCCAGGGTCCTGGGATCGAGCCCCACATCCAGCTCTCTGCTCAGCAGGGAGCCTGCTTCCCTCTCCCTCTCTCTCTGCCTGCCTCTCTGCCTACTTGTGATCTCTGTCTGTCAAATAAATAAATAAAATCTTAAAAAAAAATCAGATACCTCAAGATCTATTAAAATCAACTCTAGAACTAAAGTTAGAAATACTGTCTTGATCATGGTTGTCTGTTGTCTTTTTCTTTCTACAATAATTTTATAATAATTAAACTACCTGAAGGACTACAGTGCAAAGAAAATATAGATTGGTTCTTTGCTGGAATAGAGGGAAGAACTTAGATCCTTTTTTAGAAATTAAATGGACAAGCACTGGCTTAAAATAAGGAAGAAAATTTCTTCTTCTTTTTTTTTTTTTTTAAGATTTTATTTGTTTAACAGACAGAGATCACAAGCAGGTAGAGAGGCAGGCAGAGAGAGGAGGAAGCAGGCTCCCTGCTGAGCAGAGAGCCTGACAAGGATCCTGGGATCATGACCTGAGCCAAAGGCAGAGGCTTTAAACCACTGAGCCACCCAAGCACCCCAGGAAGAAAATTTTCTAATTTATTGCTCCCTAACTATGGAACCAGCAATCTAGGAAAATAGTAAGTGTTCTTTCTTTAGAACTAGTCAAAGAGAAGAACAGATGACTTAACAATAACTATGTATATAATGTTGAAGAAATTATTCTTGCTTGGAATGAAAGATTGAACTGAATGGAATCTCAAGCATTTTTAACTTGTACTATGTATGTACTAAATAGAGATTTTTAAGTGATATTTCCTACTGTGAAGTCATAGTTAAAAGGTCTGAAAGCCAGACTCTATGTCCAGGCTGTGTAGAATCAGTATCACCTGGGAGCATTTCAGAGATGCAAAATCTCAGGCCCTACCCCAGACCCACGGAATCAGAATCTGCATTTTAACAAGATTCTCAAGTAATGTGTATGCACATTAAAATTTGAGACACACTGCTCTAGCATGTACCAGTACTTAAGAATGCAACTACTAGATCACGGAATATAAGTAGTTTTAAATAACACAATAAAACACAATTTTTTTCCCAAACTAGTATTACCAATTTATATTCAGCAGTATATAGAAGTTTCCTTTCATGCACATTCTCATCAACAGTTGGGTTATGTTAGAAATCTTAAATTTTGCCATTATATGAGATATAAAATTATACTTAATGTTTTTAGGCCCCATTTTTTTGAATAGTAACAAGGTTGAGAACATTTTTATGTTACTGGCCATTTGTATTTCTTCTTCTGTTTATGTCTCTTAACTATGTTACTCATTATACTTTTTATATTTATTTACATAAAAGTTCTTTATATATTCCATTACATATGCTTTGTCTATTATATATGTTGCAAATATCTTCTCCAAGTGTATGGCTTACCTTTTTACTTTCTTTAGTGTCTTTCGATAAACAGAAGTCCTCCTTTTAATGTAACTGGGTTTATAACTTTTTTGAATATTAGCATTTTTTTGTGCTTTGTTTAAGAAATTTTTCCTATTTTGAGGTAATAGAAATGTTTTCCTACATCTTCTTCTAGAAGTTTTTTGTGTATGATGGGGTAGGTATCTAATTCCATTTTTATATGGATAATGATTATCCCAACACCATTTATAAATAAGTTATCTTTCTCTATAGAACAAGGTCACTGTCTAGAGCTGTTTTAGTCAGTCTATAAAATCTGAGATTTCCATTCGAGAGATGTATTGGGGAACAATCTCTTTGAAAGGAACAGAAATGGGCAAAGATTCAAGTTGAACTATGATGCAGTTGCAAAAGAGGGTTCAGCCCAACCTCTAAGAAGTTCTGGAGTTGAGATAGCACTAAGGGTCCTGCCTCCAGGACATGTTAAACCACCATCTTCCACCACCACCAATAAACCAGTGAAGCAAAATGACAGACTCAAACCAAACCATATCAAAATCAAACTAAACTTAAATAGTCTAAACAACACAATTAAAAGGCAGGCTTTGTAAGTTTAGATTAAAAAAAAAAAAAAAAAGCAAGACCCAACTATATGCGACCAACAAGAAATGTACTTTATTTTTTTTTTTAAGATTTATGTGTTTATTTGACAAAGAGAGATCACAAGTAGGCAGAGAGGCAGGCAGAGGAAGGGGGGGGAATCAGGCTCCCTGTTGAGCAGAGAGCCCAATACAGTGCTCGTTCCCAGGACACTGAGACCATGACCTGAGCCGAAGCCAGAGGCTTAAGGCACTGAGCCACCCAGGTACACCAAGAAATGCACTTTAAATATAGATATATATATATAGGTTAAATGTAAAAGATGGAAAATGATTTAAGAAACAAAACAAACAAACATGGTGGGATGAGGGGGAGTTGGCAGGGAATGAGAGGAAAACCAAGAAATGGACTCTTCACTACAGAGAATAAACTGATGGTTACCAGAGAGGAGATGGGTAGGGGGATGGATTAAATAGATGATGGGTACTAAGGAGGGCACTAGTTGTGAAGAGCACCAGGTGTTGTATGTAAGTGTTGATTCACTAAATTCTATACCTGAAACTAATATTATACTATACATTAGCTGGAATTTAAATAAAAATTTTTTAAAAAGATATACTACGCTAACACTAGTTAAAAGAAAGCTGGGTGGCTACATTAACATCAGACTAAGCTGATTTCAGAGTAAATAATATTACCAGTTATAAACAAGCCACTTTATAATGACAAGAGATTTGATTAATCAAGAGAACATAAGAATCTTACACATATATCTAGAACAAAGCTTCAAGCTACACTAAGCAAAAACTGATAGAATTACAAGGAAAAACTAGATAAATCCACAATTATGGCCAGAGACTTCAATACCTTTCTCTTTATAATTGATGGAAGAAATGGGCAGAAAATGAGGAAGGACATAGTCAACTTGAACAATGCTTTCAACCAATTTAACCTGATTGTCATTCATAGAACACTCCACCCAACAGCAGCAGAATATATATTTTTCTTAAGTGTACAGCGAAATTTACATGTAAGTTTCACATTCTGGGCTTTAAAACAAATCTCAATAAGTTCAAAAGGATTCAGTATAAAGAGTTCACCTCTGATCATGATGGAATTGAATTAGAAATCAATAACAGAAAGATCCTTGGAAAAGCACCAAATATTTAAACACTAATTAGTATGCTTTTCAATAATCCACCCATCAAAAAAGAAATCAAAGGAGAAATTAGAAAGTATTCCGAATAAAATGAAAATGAACATACAATATATTAAAGTTTGTGGGATGCTGCCAAAGCAGTACTTAGAGAAAAATTATAACACAAATCCCTCTATTCATAAAAGAAGAAAAGTCACAAATCAATGATCCCAGCTTCCACTTTAAAAAGCTAGGAAAAGAAGAGCAAATAAAACCAAAGTAGAAGAAAGAAAAGATCAAATTGGAAATCAATTATATAGAAAACAGAAAAACAGTAGTGAAATAAAGAGAAATCAAAAGCTGGTTCTTTGAGATCAATAACATTGATAAATTTCTAGCCAGACTAAAGAAAAAAGAAGAGAGAAGATATAAATTACTAATAGAAGGAATTAAAGAGGTGATATCACTATAATAGTCTATAACTATTAAGGGATACTAAGGAAATATTACTATGCCACTAAATTTAGTAACTTAGATGAAATAAATTCCTTTACAGACACAAATTACCAAAGTTCACTCAAGAAGGAACTGATAATAATATAATGATAACCCAATATCTATTAAAAATTTGAATTTCTAGTTAAAAGTTAAAAATCTTCCCCCCCAAAAAAACTCCAGTCCTAGATGGTTTATTAATTCCATCAAACATGTAATGAAGAAATAATGCTAATTGTATGTAAATTCTTTCAAAAAAGTAAAAAGGGAATACTTTTCAATTCATTCTGTAGGATTATCCTAATACCAAAACCAAACAAAGAAAATAAAACTATGGATAGATATCCCTTACAAACAAAGAAGAAAAATCTTAAACAAAATTTTAGTATACCAAATCCAACAGTAGATTAAAAGTATAAATCATGATCAAATGGGATTTAGTTCAGCAACAAAAATTTAAAAATCAATGTAATTCATCATATTAACAAACTTAGAAAGAAAAACTATAGAATCATCTCCATAGATGTAGAAAAAGTGTTTGACAGAAACCTAACATCCATCCCTGATAAAAGTCTCATCAAATGGTAATGTAATGGGTTCTCCTCAATGTGACTGATTGCATCTACAGAATGCTTGCATCATACTTACATCATACTTAATAGTAAAAGGACTGAAAAATTAAAAAAATTTAAAAAAAATTAAAAAAAAATAGTAAAAGGACTGAATGCTTTCTCCCTAAGATCAGAAACAAGAGAGGGATGTTTGTTTTCACCACCTCTATTCATCATTGTGCTGGAAGTTCAAGCCCGCATAATCAGGAAAAAAAAAAAAGAAATAAAAGGTAATCAGATGAGAAAGGAAGAGGCAAAACTCTTTACTTACAAACTACATGATTATCTCAAAGTCTTTAGGACTTTGAGGACTTTAGGACTTTAGGACACTTCAAGGACATTTCTCAATCCAGCACCATTGATATTTTGGGTCAGCTAATAATAACAATAATAATAAATATAATAAAATTATTATTATCATTATCCTTCTCCTCTTTCTTCATCCCCTCTCCTTCCTTTCTTCTTCCCCTTCCTCTTCTCCTTCCCCTTCCCTTTTTCTTTCTCCTTCTTCTGTGCAGAGGAAGACAGAGTTTCCTTGCACATTGTAGGATATTTAGAAGGATCCCTGGCCTCTGCCCACTAGATGCCAATAGCTTTCCTTCCCATGTCCTACCTCTTAGGGTTGAAACAACCAAAAATATCTCAAGACGTTGTGAAATGTACCCTGATGGTGAAACATGCCCCTCTCTGCCAACACTGAGAACCACTGTTCCAGAGTCAAGGTGAAATGTGATTACAAGAATTTGAGAAGGAAAGCAGCTAAGAATACAACTACAGTGGTAGAAGTGAAACATAATAAAGGCTTGAACTACATTAGCAATGAGTAGGCTTGGACTGAAAGGAGTAGGACAGTAAGACTTAAATATCATTGGGATGATAGGGTAGAAAAGAGTAGGAGCTCAAGGTTTGGTTTGCATAATTAGGTGGATGATGGTATCACCAAAAAAGATGATCATAGTACATATAACAGAAAACATATAGGATATGTTTCCTTAGATGTCTGTCATAGTTACTGAGTTTTCTGATTCCAAAGAACTTCCAGATAAAAAGAATGAGAAAAAGTAGAACTTCGTTAACTGCCCTTTGATTTGATTCTGGGCTTGTAAGCATGAACTTAACTGGTCTTCCTGATCCTCAGAATCATGAGTTACCACTCGCATTGGAATAGAGGACTGTGCAGTAGTTTTGGTTTCTATCAATATGATAAAGTAGCAGAACGCCCAAGAGGAGCAAGGAGGGGCATCCAAGTTAAACATGAACTTGTAAAGGGAATCCTTCCACAGTTCCTCAGAAATACAGACCTTTCCTCTAGAAAGCAGATAAAGACATGGTACAGCCAACTGGAATGTGCCATTCTACCTTAGTTTGGCAGCTATGTCTACATTTGCTTTATTTTTACTTACAACATATAACATTTATTAACATGCTAAGACTTTTTCTTGCTTTATATCTTAGTACATTTCAATTACTGGAAATTGTTATATGCAATAGTAAATAATGGACTGAAATAATTTACCTTAGGATGAAAAGCAAAACACATTCCAGGAGCCTGTCGAGATATCAGAGCTTCACCTTTTTTTTCCTTTTCCCCTCCCCTTTTGCTGTTGCTAGTAGTAGTTCGCCTTAAATGCATCAAATCTTTATTTAAAGAAAAAAGATATGTCTTATTTACCACATGAAAAAGTATTGTATATATAATGTGTGTCCCTTCTACAAAGAATAGTATGATTTCTGCCATCTTTTGCACGTGGTTAGGTTAAAATTAGCAAATACCAGAACAAGATGCTCAGAAAAAGCAATGACTAAGCCCAGTTTCTTTCTTATGTAGCCAAACTCAAACTGGTCACCTCTTACACGAGGCTCACTAGGAAATTTAAGGCAGCACATAACAAGAAAGATAATTTGATTGATAGATATATATGTATATATACATTCTTTTTACCATGACAGTCTAGTCCTTTCCGTATCACCCATTTGGAGATTCTTCCATCTGCTGATATAGAAACAAGTATTTCTCTTTTGTCATCACCTGTTGTCCCTCGATCTTGTTCTATCCACTGTAGTTGCCATACAGGTCCCAAATGTTTTTGAGGTGATTCACTAAAATGGAGGAAAGCACTAAATACAGAATCATTGTCATAATTTTTGAAAGGACATGAGTCTAAGTCATAAGGACAGCTCCCTGGAGCATTGTGATCTACTTATAGAATGATGACTTTATTGTTCAAAATTGGACTTCCACTCTAAGTATTTCAAAAAAACAGGGAAAATAATCATTTTGTCACATAGTATTTTTTGTTATTCACATTTCTTACAAAAGGAAAAATTTTACTGCCTCTAATTATATTAACTGCCATAACAGAAATACAAAAGAAAATATTTTCTTTCTTTTCAGAATATATTTTCCTTACTCTCTTCATTTACTTTTTCCTGAATAAGTTATTTAAGTTTATTTTGGACACATTGAGTATAAGTATCTTCACCTTTGTAAGGGTTTTTTTTTTTTTTTCATAGCATAAATGAATAAATTATTTAAATCTTACTTAAATAAACAATTACCTCACCTTTCTTTCTATGTTTCAGGTTTGCTCACTGACTTGATTCTCTCTATGGTCAAGATTTAACATTTTTCTGAAGAATTAAAATTGCTTCTCAGATTACTGTTTTCCTATAGAATAATGGGCTGCTCTGTTCATAGTACTGACTCTCTGGAGTTTTTTATGCAAACCTTCCAAAGCAATAGTTATGAATCTCTTTAAAATCATATAGTTTTGGGTGCCTGGGTGGCTCAGTTGGTTAAGTGACTGCCTTTGGCTCAGGTCATGATCCTGGAGGCATGGGATGGAGCTCCGCATCAGGCTCTCTGCTCAGCAGGGAGTCTGCTTCTCCCTCCGACCCTCCCCTTCTCGTGCTCTCTCTCTCTCTCAAATAAATAAATAAAATCTTTTAAAAAATAAAATAAAATAAAGTCATATAGCTTTGATCATATGGTAAAAGTTATAGACCCTCTTCCCAGAAACAAGCACAAAGGCTTGTGCTTACAAAGCTATGCAAATATTTTCAACGTTAAGCTTAAGGACCGTGCTTTATGCCTATTTTCAGGTCTAGCTAATTATTCAAACACTAATATAAATATACTACTTCATTTTTGCCCTGATCTATTATAAAAACCTAATATATTCAATATCTTCCACTTTTAACTTTTTGTTTTCTCAATATCAGTCATTCATTCATTTATTCTTAATCGAACACTTACTATAATCCTATTACATGCCTGATATTATGTGACAGGCTGAGGATACAAAGGTAAGACTTAATCCTTCAAGTTGCTTACAACTCTTCAGGAAGATGTACGTGTATATATATACATATACGTACATATACAGTGTAGTAAGTACTATGATAACTAATACAAATGCACAAAAGAATGGAATGGGAAGGTTACATGGAGGGTGTGACACCAAAGCAATAAAGGGTACAAACTTTCAGTTACAAGATGAATAAGTTTGAGAGATCTAATATGCAGTATGATGACCATAGTTAATATGTACTATATATTTGAAATTTGCTAAGAGAGTAGATCTTAAGTGTCCCCCCAACACAAAAAAGGTAACTATGTGAGGTGATGGGTGTATTAATCAATTTGATTGTAGTAAACATTCCACAATATATACGTATATTAAATATTTACATTGAACCCCTTTAAAAAATCAGATGGTACAACCTAAATGTATATGATTTTTATTTGTCAATTATACTTCAATAAAGCTGGGGAAATTTTTAAAAAATTTTTTGAAAGAATAAGCATAAACGGTCAAGGAGGTTGGTGAGGTGGGCAAAGAACATGCAGATTTTAGGATAGAGTAAATGAGGAATTATTAAATGTTTAAAAAATAGTGGTATCACTCTCAACAACAAAAACATTCATTCAAAACTAAAAAACATCAAATTTTTACTTCTCCCTAAAAAAAGCACATATTATGTGTTACCTAATATTATATGTTTACCTAATTCTTGGATTCTCACCTACTATCCAGAACTGGAACATTACTGTTGCTCTGCACATTATAAATGGCAATGTTGCCATTGTGATAGCCAACTGCTAGGAGATTAGGTGCTCCAATTGAGAAATCCACAGCAGTAACTCCATGTGGACTCTGATAAATGCGTTCTGGCCACTGGATAAAAAAATTATATTACATTTTAAATTTGGTTTTGCAGGCCATAAAAGATAGAACATAATGGTGGCTAAATGGTAGACTGTCTGGTGGCAGGGGAAACATAAGAAGAGATAGTCTACATTCAGTTACTCCTCTCCCCCGACTTCCAGTATAGATGAGAACAAAACATCAATTAGTTATTTCCTTTATGTTGGTGAATCCTCAGAACTCAATAATTTTTAAGAAATATAGCATGGCCTTCTCTAATAATTATCCTATTTTGGTAATCTTTCTGCAGGATTTGTATGATCACCATAGATCACCTTCTTTAAGAGACAAGTATGGGCTCCAAACAAATTATCTAGCAATGTTCCTATCTTCCAGTAACTGTTTCAGATGCTTGGATTATCTAGACATTTCTAAACAGTGGATAGAAGAAGCTCCAAAAAACTCTCTAAGGTAGTCTTTTCTACAACTCTGTGAAGAGTTTTATTGTTTTATTTAATGCCTAATCTAAATTCTTTCCTGCTTCTAACAATCTATGTGGAAAAGAAGACAACTTACTGATGATGGATCTTATATCAATTCTTCCATGTTTAAAATTGCTTCTTCCTTCCTTTCTTTTACTCTACATAAACCCAGCTTCCTAATAGAATGGGGATATTTGTAAAAGCTCTAATTATTATTTTTTTTGCCCTCTGATCCTTTTCTAAGTTTTCTACTTTATATTTCAGTTATTAATTAAAATTAATAAAAACCTGCAAAGTAACATATTGGTTACAACTGTTTGACAAAAATATGATTGATTCTTATTATTCTTGAAAAATTCATGCTAATAACATGGTCATATTCATCTATCTCATGTATTCAGGATAGCAGAAATCTATCTTATAAGGTGATGATTTATTCATATATTAAGAAACAACCCAGTATTAAATGAAAATTAATTTTCAAAGGATTTTCACTTACAAATTTATTCTTCATTTTGATAAAAAATAATGGTTCGATTCTGGATCATCAGATCTAAGAGCACACAGTAAATGTTCAATAAATATTTATTAAATGAATTTATCCTTTATCAGCAAAAACAAATTTTAATTCTTACAGATTAAAACCAAAGAAAATAAAGTCTTTCTTGGTCACTTTTTTGACTTTAATTATCACATACAACTATGTGTTTTATGAGAATTATGTCAACATTTAATTGACTAAAAATGGGTTTATTCCTATTTGGTTACCGTAGGATTCTTTATTGACCAGCAGCAAGCCAATCCTCTTTTTTGCTCTTTAAATCCAAAGTGCCCATAGCCAACAGCCAAAAGGTCCTGAAAACCAGCAAAATACGTTTAAAATAAGAGAGGATGGCATAAAAATATTGGAAAATGTGTAAAGATGCATATTAATGAACTGTGTTAAAAATAGTGTTAAGAAATTTCTATTAAAAAATATATCTACTATTTTTATTTTACATCTCCATCTTCTAAAGCAAAATAATAATAATCATCATATTTTCAGACTAATGAATATCTAAAAAGAACCAATTGCTAAAAAGTTCTTTTACATATTGAGATACTCTTCCAAGATTGTATTACTACATTATATTTTATGGGTTTTTGAGAATGACCTAATTATTTCAAATATAAAGACAGGGTGCCATGAACTGAATTGTGTCTCTTGCCTTAAAATTCATGTGTTGCAGTCTTAATCCCCACTCTCATTGTATTTGAGGATAGGGCTTTTAGGAGGTAACCAGGGTTAAATGAGTTCATAAAGGTCATAATCTTAATCCAATAGGACTGATGGCCTTATAAAAAGAGGAAGAGACACCAGAGCTCACTCTCTCCACCACATGAGAGCACAGCAAGAAGGTGGTCATCTACAAGCCAGGAAGAGAGCCTTCACCAGTAACCAAATCAGCCAGCACCTTAACCCTAAACTTCCTGGCCTCCAGAACTACAAGAATATAAATTTCTGGGGTTTTTTTTAAGCCAGCCAGTCTATGGCATTTTGTTATGGCATCTCAAACTGATTAATAAAGCAGGTCATTTCAAGAAATACTTGTAGACAAAAATTTAATAACTGACCAAACCCAGGCTCATCTTCATAATCAGAATACCTTTATCAAAAATATATTATTATATTTTTTGCCACAACCCTATTTTCAAGCCAACATCATCACTCTATAATTTCCTCTGTCTTAAACCACTCTTCGTCACTATTCCTTTTACCCTGACACGGACAAGCTTTTATTAATCTTTTCTAGACTCAGCATAGGCACCACTTCTTCTGAGAAACATTCATAAGCCTCTCTTATGTATTCCCACACCACTATTTATTTCCTTTATTAAAGCACATAGAGACCATTATGCAGGCAGGGTCTATGTATGACTAAATTACTACTGCAACTCTAGTGCCTTATCAGAGGTCCTGGCACAGAGTGAATGTCCAGTAAGTATTTGTAGAATGAATTAATAAATGTGATAGATTATTACTGGTGAAGATAGATGTTTGTCATATTTGAAGCTCCATTAAAAATTATTTAACTTTAATCTCAATAGCAATATATTAACTTTTAAAATGCTAGTATATTCAGTTTCTAAAAATGATTTATCTGTCTTTATTATACAGTTAGTATTATTAAATCTCACTTACCTAACAAGATGTTTCCAAACGTAGTTTTATAAAGACCAATCCATACTTAAAGTGTTTTATGTTATTAAAAAATAATGTGCATAATTTAAATAATGTGTCACATAGATTTCTATAAAAATGATTACAAAACTTCTGTTTTTTAATAACCATAACAACTAGCATATTTGCACATAGTACCTTATAAGGTGTGGCAGCAAAATAATAAGGCTAATTCTTAAACATAGTACAATGCGGTTTAAACACACAAATTTGTTTTGACCACTTAAAAATACACTAAATATCTATTCCAAAGATATTGTCATTACACAAAAGGTTTTGGAATCTCTAATTGAGAATCATGTCTTCAGAAGCAGTTTATAAACCCCAGGAAAAAATAAGTCTCGTTACTCTATAATCTCTCTCTCTCTCTCTCTTTTTAACTAAAGAGAAGGAGGAGAGGGACAGAGAGAGACTCTTTAAGCAAGATCCATGCCCAGAGTGGAGCCTGACAGGGGGCTCAATCTCACAACCCTGAGATCATGACCTGAGCCAAAATCGAGAGTCAGACACTTAACCAACTGAGCCATCCAGTCACCCTTATAATCTTCTCTTTTTTAAAAGCAAAGCTACTATTCCTAACTTGGTGGTTCCTATAATTTGCCTCAAGATGATTTCTGGCAGCAGCGCAATTAAGAGCAAGAACCCTGGAGCCAGGGGTTTGGGCTTGGATTCTAGCTGTTTCACTTACTAGTTGTATAACTTTGGGAATTTAATAGATGTGTAACTTCTTCAGCCAAGTTATTTATCCTTTTTGTACTTCAGTTTCCTCATCATCATATTGGGGATAATAGTACCTAACTCAGAGTTGTTGTGTTAATTTAAGTAAAGTGCTGGCAATGGCACCTGGTACATAGTAAGTGCTGTTTAAATACTTGCTATTTTCGGTAGTAAAAGTTAATTTTAGGAATCTCAAAGTTATTTTGCACATTTTCAGAGTCACTAGAATAAGTATATACTTCTGAATATGATACTCTAAGAAAAATACAAATTTGGGTACACGAGTTTGATATATCTAAAAATAAATTGATTATATATGATCTTCTGGTTTACTTTTCAATGTCTGATATGGATTCAGAGAATACGGTGTCCCAAATACATCTCCTAAAATAAAAATATGATGTCTTCATTTTAAGGGGAAATTTTAGAACTATTTTCATTTTCCATTTTTGAAACATGAACTTGTAAAGGGATGTTAAAACTCTGGTTTATGTCAATTAAAATCCCTTGCCTAAAACCTGAGAAAAAGAAAACTTCATTAGTACTTGACAGTTATCTTTAAATGCTAAAGATAGAATTGTTAAAATGTTCAATAACCTACAGGATTTGTTTTATTCCAGGCAAGGCTGCTCACATTAAGACCTTTGGTTAAGTCACAGGAAAAGGACCAAAGTCGTTCCAAATTGGCTGGTATTGTTGACTGTTCTGTACTTATTTCTATTTCTTCTTCCTCTTCCTTCTTAACCTCTTCCTCTGTCTCTTGTTCAAGTTTTTCACCTTCTAGAAAGTCTTCAGGTTCTTCAGGTTCTGGTTCTAAAATTAAATCACAAAAAGAGATTATTTTCCTCTATACCTACAGAAGCCTGGCAAAGTCTCCAAACAACATCTCTATCTATGAGACACTTCAAGCACCAGTGAATCTGTTGGAACATATGGCCCAAGTGACAAGGCATTCCGAATGACCGCCTGGACCTGTTGTAGAATCCTGTTGTTCTGGGTCCCACTCAAAGGAGCACCTTTTCAGTTCACTCAGTTAATGAGCCAAGTAACACGTCCGGATGAGGAACATGTTGCCTCCAAAGAAGGAAGAAGTCTACTAGGCATTGTAACTTTTGTTTGGTTCTAAGAGGGGCAAGATGAAACAATTTATCCTTCACTTTGGTAGGTATATCTTGACATACCCCATACTACAAAAGACCCTTGGAAATTTGACTGATGTGGAAAGCCCCTAAAAAATTTTATCAGATTTATTTCTCACCCTCTGGCATGCAAATACCTTAACAATAAGTGTACTTCTTGTTCACTGGGTTCAGTCAGCATAATATCATCAATACTATGGACCAGTAATGGACCAGTGTGATATTTTGTTGAAGGGAAAAGTACCTGCAGACTCAATTATGACATAAAGCTAAAGAAGAGAGGCCTCAGAGGAAACCAACTCTGCTCACACCTCGATCATGGGCTTCCAGACTCCAGAATTATGAGAAAGTAAATTTCTGTTGTTTAAGCCACACAGTTTGTGGTATTTTGTTATGGCAGCCCTAGCAAACCAATACAGCCCCTACCTATTTCTCTTCTAGAGACATGATGATCAACTAGCCAATGCCATGGGTTTCTGTGAGTCAGACTATTCTGATTTCTGCTTTGCCTGCTATGGCAATCATAGCAGGCAACCTCCTTTTCCTTTGGTAATTAAGTGTTGCCACTTATCTCCTGCCATTCAGGATCCAGTTTTTAAGGATTTCAGTTTACTGGCAGCAGTTCCCACTGTAATGTCTGACCTACAGAGAAGAGTGACCACAGAGTTCTTCAAGGATGTTGGGATACCCCCTCGCAAATGTATTTCTCACAATTGTGGTAAAAGGTGTATTATCCTTCTGCAGTGGGTGAGAAAGTTGTCATGATAAATCCACCCTAACATTCCAATGTCCCTAAGCCTTAGGATACCTTTCTCTATAGCGTCCCAAAGCAGTTCTGACTTCAACTTCATTTAGTGAAAACCACATTTTGGTCCAATATTAGCTAACAAGAAAGAAAGAAAAAGAAAGAAAAGGGAAGGAAAGGAAAGGAAAGGAAAAGAAAGGAAAGGAAAGGAACAGAAAAGACAAGAGAAAATTAGAACCATTTCTAATCCCCTGAGCTCCAACACTGGGTCCAGAATATCTGCTTAGTGGACCCATATCAGTAAACTTGATCTGATGTAACTTTATATTCCTTCCATCATTACCCTACACCCTTAATATCCATTCCCACATATATTCCTCAGATTTCTGCCTGTATAAATTGGAAAAATCAGCAGTCAATTCTGCAAGAAGTCATAACAACCCCCAAAATGTGTATAGACCTAACAAGTTAAGTAACATGAAACAAAAAAAAAAATAGATCTGAAATGAGAATAAACAAATCCACAATTACAGTTCAGATTTCAACACTCCTCTCTTAATAACTGATAGAACAGGTAGACAGAAAATCAGTAAGGATACAGATAAATTGAACATCACTATTAACCATCTTGACCTAAGGACAATTATAGAACAGTCCATCCCAAAACACCAGTATACATATTCTTCCCAAGTATCATAACAAATTCTTTAAGATAGACCATATCATGGATCAAAACAAACAAAAAGACCTTAACAAATCTAAAAGAATAGAAATCAAAGTATATTCTCAGACCATAATGGAATTAAATAAAAAATTAATCATAGAATACAGATAGAAAACCCCAAAATATGTGGATATTAAGCGATATTTATAAATAACACATGGGTCAATGAAGTGGTCTCAAAAGAAATTTTAAAAATTTTTAATGAAATGAAAATACAACATATAAATTTTATGAAATTCAGCTAAAGCAGTGTTTACAAGGCATATTTTAGGAAAGAAGAAAATTAAATATATATTTTACATATGTACCACCTATTCTATTCCTAGGTATTGACCCAAGAGAGACAAAAGCAAATGTCCAAGCAAAGACTTATATACCAATATTCACGCCAACTTTATTTGTATGGTCCCAAACTGGAAATAAATATTGATCAACAGGAGAAAGAATAAACACAGTGCAGGATAGTCATACAATGGAATACTCATCAGTAATAAAAAGAAATGAACTATGATACATACTACATTGGTGAATCTGAAAATAATTTTGCTGAGTGAAAAGAAGCCAGATAAATAAGGGTATATAATGTATAATTACATTTATATAAAATTACATTTATATAAAATTGCTATATAGGGATATAAAGCAAAACAGTGGTTTCTTAAAGATGAGGTGGGGCAAGGAGGAACAGGAAGGAAGGATTCTAGAGGACATGAAGAGAAATTTGAGGGTGATGAATACATTCGGTACCATTATATATCATTGTATATATCATCGATTGTGATGCTGTATTAAAGCCTATTAAATTATATACTTTAAATATGTGCAGTTTATTGTATGTCACTTATACCTCAAGAGCTGTTAAGAAATAACAATGCCATATCACTCTTTAAATGAACCCAAGATAATATAAATATTGTAGCATTTTTTTAATTGTGAGAAAATTCATTGATATGTGTAGATTTTAGCTGTAGAGTTTAATAGGTTTTGATAAATATACACACCAATGTAACCAACACAACAGTCAAGATAGATAGAGAACATATCCATCAACCAAAAAAGTTTCTTCATGCCACTTTCCAAGTAAGCTCAACCCCCCACAGCCAAACACTGGTTTGATTTCTATCACCTCAGATTAGTTTTGTTTGTGATAGCATATCACATAAATGGGTTTGTTGGTATGTATTCTTTTGTGTCTGGCTTCCTTCACTTGACAATGCTTTTGAGATCCATCAAGGTTACTATGTATGTAAGTAGTTCATTCATTTTTTTTTTAATTTTTTATTTCTTTTCAGCGTAACAGTATTCATTGTTTTTGCACCACACCCAGTGCTCCATGCAATCCGTGCCCTCTCTAATACCTATTACCTGGTTCCCCCAACCTCCCACACCCCGCCCCTTCAAAACCCTCAGATTGTTTCAGAGTCCATAGTCTCCATGGTTCACCTCCCCTTCCAATTTCCCTCAACTCCCTTCTCCTCTCCATCTCCCCTTGTCCTCCATGTTATTTGTTATGCTCCACAAATAAGTGAAACCATATGATAATTGACTCTCTCTGTTTGACTTATTTCACTCAGCATAATCTCTTCCAGTTCATTCATTTTTATTCCTGAGTTGTGCTCCATCATTTGTTTATGCATTGACCTGTTGATGGACATCTGGGCTGTTTCCAGGTTGGAGCTATTATGAATAAAGTTGCTATGAGCATCCTTACATAAGTGTTTTTTGCAGACATATGTTTTCTTTTCTTGGGTGAATACCCAGGGACAGGGGTCACTGGGTGGATCTATGCTTAACATTTTAAGAAACTTCCCAGCAGATTTCCAGCATGGTTGTACAATTTCAAACTCCTACAGCAATATATAAAAAACCCAGTTACTCCATATTCTTGCTTGGTGTTGTCAGTCTTTTTAATTTTAGCCATTCCAACTAGTGTACAGTGGCATTTTGTTATGGTTTCAACTTGCATTTCCTTGACAACAAATCATGTTTAGTACCTTTTAAGGTGTCTACTGATTATTCATGTATATTTTAGTGAAGTTTCTGTTCAAATCTTTTGCCTATTTTTTATTAGACTGTCTATATTTTTTCAAAAGATTTTATTTATTTATTTGACAGACAGAGATCACAAGTAGTCAGAGAGGCAGGCAGAGAGAAAGGAGGAAGCAGGCTCCCCACTGAGCAGAGAGCCCAATGCAGGGCTCGATCCCAGGACCCCGAGACCATGACCTGAGCCGAAAGCAGAGGCTTTAACCAGCTGAGCCACCCAGGTGCCCCAAGACTGTCTATATTTTTATATGTGTATGTGTCCTTTACATATTTCTAATTTATGTCTTTGGACAGAGGTATGTTGTAAACATATTCTTCTAGACTGTTACTTGCATTTTCCCCCCTAAACAGTGTTACTCAAAGAGCAGACATTTTAACTACCTCAAAAGCCTTACCAATTTTTTTCTTTCATGTCTTGGGATTTTTTGTGTATTAAATAATCTTTTCTGATGCTAAGATCACAAACATTTTCTCTTTTGTCTTCTTCTAGAACTTATCATTTTAATTTTTTTTTTAAGATTTTTATTTATTTATTTGACAGAGAGAGATCACAAGTAGGCAGAGAGGCAGGCAGAGAGAGAGGGAAGCAGGATTCTCGCAGAGCAGAGAGCCCGATGCGGGGCTCGATCCCAGGACCCTGAGATCACGACCTGAGCCGAAAGCAGAGGCTTTAACCCACTGAGCCACCCAGGCGCCCCTCATTTTAATTTTTATATTTAAATCTATAGCCCATCTGAGTTAATTTATATATATGATATGACATGGAAGTTGAGGTTCATTTTTTTCCCATGTGGATATCTTATTGTTTCAGCATCATTTATGAAAAGATCAGTCTTTTAAAATTAGTTCACCTTGGCATATTTGTCAAAAATCAAGTGACCATATAAGTCTGTGTTTCTGGACCCACTCCTATTCTATCTCAGCCATCTATATGTCTACCCTTAGACAAATATCACACTTCCTACATTACTATAACTTTATAACAAATCGTTTGTGATCAGATAGGGTAAGTCAACTTTATTCTTCTATTTCAGAATTGGCTTGGTTATTCTAAGTTGTTGCTTTGCCATATAAAATGGGTGATCATTTTGACAATTTAATTATCTTTAAGGAAAAATTTTAAATACTAAGAAATGTTTCTTACTTTCACTCACATTTT